AAATTTAAAAGTAATGGAAAAAGAAAGAAACAATTAGTAAATTGATTTAATATAAACAAAAAATGTATTAATCCTACGAATATATGAAAAAGGAAATTTTAATGACAAACCCAAATCTAGTCGTCCGCGTATCGTTTATTGACATTATGAAAGGAGAATTGTCCGACTGATTACATCGGGCAAATGCTTTATAGCTAAATCTAGAGGTCCAATAAATATTACAGTTGAGACTATACACCGTATATTGAGGAAAAATGGGCTATTTGTACAAGTAAACCCTTGCTTATAAAACCATAAAAAAAATCGACTAGCATGGGCGAAACGATATCGTAAAAGGAAGGATATTTACTGATTGGAGAAAGGTGCTGTGGTCAGATGAATCAATGTTTCTTTTATTTGGCTCTGACGGAACAGTATTGTTGGAGGAAACCTAAGAAACCTTTAACTGCATCGAGATGTATACCAAAGGTCAAATTTGATGGTGGTGGAATAATGATTTGGAGTTATATGAAGTAATCTGATTAGGATCGAAGGAAATATGAATGGCTCTATAGACAAATAATGGTGTCCACTTACATTCACTTTTTCGACTTGAAAAAGGATCAACTTTTGCATTATAAATTGCAGTTAATGCATCAGTTTGCTGTGAACAAGTGATTCTAACTTGTATGTACATTATCTATTATTTGGGTGGTTCTACCAAAATGTTTAGGTATTTATTAGTTTTTGTCAATGGATTTGAATCATCGGCTAAATTACTTTCTTTTTTTTACAAAAAAAAGAAAATCGTTCCTACATTAACCAATTTTAGAAATTAACTAGGGAGGCCTTGGGTGTGTCTCAAACCATCCGCGATCAAAGCATTGCTTTATATTTTGGATGTACAATATAAATCAAAATAAGAATAAAAAAGAAAATTAATGAAGCGATCCAAAAGCCTGAGAAAAAAATTCAAAACAAAAAGGCGGAAATATATATATTCGATTTCTACGGTAAAAAGTGATAAAAATGAAGGTAGTAAATAGAAATGAAAACTATACGAAATTAATAATAAAATAAAAATAAATACCGCGCTTACTCTGAATTAAAGAATTAAGCCAACCCGAAATATGAAGTTAAAGAAATAAAAAAAAAAAATAACCCCACTTTAATAACAACAGTCTGCAGCGATCCAAGTTGCTTAATAAAATAAAAATAAAAAATGATTTATCAACAAATAGTGATCCAACTTGAAAAAATTTCGCCTAAAAACAATCGTCTAAAAAAAATGAGAATGAATATACTGTAAATTTAAAAAAAAATAAAAATAAAAGTCTTACAACAAATCTGAAAATAAAATTATCAAAAAAAAATCAATGAAAATAAGTGCATTAGTAATTTAGTAAATTTGCCACGTCAAATATAAAATCTTAATTTTAACTCGGCTTTGATCAATCAGGTGAGCAATATCATGTGATATATTCGAAAATCAGTTGAGATTTATTTTAAATTAAAATTATAAATTATTTCAGTGCTATAGTATAGTGGTATAAAGCACTTGACAATTCTAATCTCGAATACTAGGTTCGAATAAAACTAATACCAAAAAAAAATAATAAAAAAAAAAATTTTTTTTAAATTATATTTTAAAGCATTACTCAGAATAGTTTATTAAATTTGAACGTTGTAATTTATCATGAATACTTCATACTTAGGAACTATAAATCAAAAAATGTCCGTGCTCTATTAACACGTCGTTTAATATTTCTAAAGTATTTTACTAAAGTGCATACCTTGCCCATTATAATACGCGTTCCAAAAGATTTTCAAGATGCTTTAATGTATGGTTGTATTAAATAAAAACTATATTGAAATATATTTAATAAAAGTACTTTAATATTTACGAAATAACATATAAATGGCATTTCTATAATGTTCAAAATATATTATAATAAGAATTACTGCGTGGTAAACTTTAAGATGCTATATATTTAAGGTCGTAAGGAAGTCCGTAATCACTAATAAAAAGATTTTAAAAGATTATAATTTTTATAAAAATTAGACAATTTCTATTTGTACACGGGTCATATGTGACTCAAATGCCCTTGAAGTAATTGGCAATTTTAGCAAAATAAATTCTAAATGTACATAATAGAAAATAATGATAATTATATAATTAAGAGGAACATTAAGATATTAATCTTTATATTTTTTGTACTTTGTATGTCCGCTCTAAGTTTTCGCGTGATTCTTTCTATTTCTAAACGTTCTGTAATATCTTGGTCGTTTTGGTAGTTCATCTAAAAAAAAAGTAAAATTTAAACAAATGGTATATACATAATTTTGTTTTTATAGCCGCTTTCGAATTAGCGTGATCAGGATTTATCGATCAATTAAAATTATAAAAGCAAATGTTTTCGCACACCTGAAAATTTAATAAAATTGACGTTTCGTATTGTCATTCCAAGTGATGCAGACGGAACATTATCTTCTCCTTCTTGTCCTTTGAGTTTCCAAGAACCGGACATCAGACTTTTCTCCTTCTGTTTGATATTATTGACACGGTTGGGTGACTCTTTGGAATTCAAATTTCTGAGTGAGCATGACTACCAGAGTCCGGTGGTTCCTGTAAAGATACTCTCATCCATAGAATTTATGTAATGAACAACTATTTAACCTATGTTGTCTGGTTATCTAAACTTTAATGAAGAAAATTGATTTAAACTATGAAAACTTGGAAGGAAGGAAGTGATTGACAATAAAAGAAAATAAATATCTAAGTTAGCATTTTTTTGTCCACTTCGTCATATTCAAATAATTGTTTATATATATGTCAACATTATGTTATACAGTTATACAAATAGAAATATATATTAATTAGAAAGCAATAAAATTGATATACTGATTAATGATTATGTGTTACTGTATAAGTTCTATTTGATATACGCTTATATTTAAGGCAGGAAATTTATAAAATCAACAAGTAGAATGGATCAAGTTAGAATATATATTTTTTTTTTATTTGCTGGATATGGATACTCGCAGGATGATACGAACGCCAGATATTATTGAATCGAATATTATAATAATCGTTATGAATTATATTTCAAATTAACTATCAAAATCATTCATTTAGATTCATAGAATGTTCGATCACGATATATAGTAATTGTTATTCACTCCACTTCATTAAACTTTCCAACTTTATTAAATTAATTATTTTAATAAGCTAATTTCATATTCATTTACAAATAACTTTTTCTTCCTCTTTACTAACGCTAATATACCAATGAATTTTAAATTAAAATAAGTCTCGTAAAATTTATTGAGAGGAAGAAATCTGTGTGGCCAAAGCGCAACCTAGAATAGCTTCAATTGGATTTTTCATAACGTAATCTATGGATTTGTTAATGGTGGTGCCGGAATATTCGCTGTTGTAATTTCCAAAACAAATCAATGTAGTAATAATTCGCCTATAACTTATTTTGTTAAAAAAAGCAAGACGATCATATCGATAATATTTACATCAAAGATAGGATCAGTAGAAAATTACATCGATCACGGGTAATATTGAGTGGAATTAATAAGCAAAAGATGAAATATGAGAAAAAGGTGAAACTTTCATATCGATTATCTTCTTATTAATTTTGTTCGATATTTAAATTACATGTATATAGATAATATATCATGAGATGAATTCAATCTCTTAAAATGTTCCAAAATTGAATGATTTTAATTTCATTTTTAGATAATTCTTTGTATTTAAATTGCATGTTCAAAATAAATAAGATCAATATATAGCCAACAACAAATAAAAATAATAATAATAAATTAATGAGTTTACTTTATCAATTGACTAAGTTTTGCAAAAATATAACATCAAGTTTTTTTCTTTCATTTATAATTCTTTTATATATTAATTTTTTTTAACTATTCTTGTAACAATGTTCTTTTTATCTTCGATAAATCAGCTTTAAAATCCACTAATTCTAAACCAAAATTATAAATTGCATGTAAGGATTCCAGGCAAAACCCGGAGGTTTCGACAGGCATCGAAAACGAAACCCATTGAAACCCGTCGTTGAAACCCGTTGAAACCCATTGAAATTGAAAGGTTTCGAATTTTGCAAAAATGGGATTTGAGTTTTACTCCGCAAACTTAATTGCATGTCTCTCATCAGCTACTTTACCAAAGAAGTCCAATAATACGGATTGATCCTCCAAGAATCTCTCGTATTTTTAACGCTGCCAATAGTAATTTAGGTCCTTTTTCGTCAAAGGATTTGTGAAATGTCTTCTTACCAGACTCATCTCTGCTTCCGCAAACAAATAGTTAATATAGGGATGTTAAAAAGTCCCATAGGACTAGGTCCTAAACAGTCCTACGAAGTCCGGTCAAGTTCAAAGTCCTTGAACTATAGGACTGCGGTCCTATAGAAATTAGGACTTGCGGTCCAAGGATTGCGGTCCTATAGAAAAATAATCGTTCAAGTCGAACGATTCCCCGTCGTTCTTCTTTAACGATTTTTTTATCGTTCAAGTCGAACGATTCGTCATCGTTCTTCTTGAACGAATTTTTTATCGTTCAAGTCGAAAGATTCGACATTGTTCTTCTTGAACGATTATTTCTTTATCGTTCAAGTCGAACGATTCGTCATCGTTCTTCTAAAGATTATTTCTTTTATCGTTCAAGTCGAACGATTCGTCATTGTTCTTCTTGAACGATTATTTTTCTATAAGACCGCAGTCCAAGGACCCAAGTCCTAATTTCTATAGGACCGAGTCCTAGGACCGCAAGTCCTAGTTTCTATAAGACCGCGGTCCTAGGACTGCAGTCTCGGGACCTGGTCCTAGAATCCAGTCCTAGGACTGCAGTCTCGGGACCTGGTCCTAGAATCCAGTCCTAGGACTCAAGTCCTATGGACCGGGTCTTCTTTAGGACTGGGAGTTTCGGGACCGGACTAGGACCGGACTGGATTTTAACATCCCTAAGTTAATAAGAAACATTACGGTGATATTTACTAACTTGATTGAATTGCCAAGTAATGATCATGGAAATGAATGAATATGTTTATTAAAATAATAATATTCAAGAATTCGAACATTGAATCCATCGTCAAAACATTTTTGAATGGTAGTATTTCTGGAAGTAATCCACGGGCTAATTGATTAAAATTATGTGGTATAAATGGTTGAATAATTTTGAGAATTAAACCGATGGTACACCATTCCATTAATTTATCCCTAATTACAATAGATCTCTTTGCCAAACTGAGTCAAGTGAGCTATAACATTTGAATGAGAACGAATTCTTTTTTAATTATTCTTTGTCAAGAAGATAATCAAAATCGTAACATTTGTTGTAACATCATTGTTGGTGAAGTCAACTATATACTGTATGTATCTAACAAATTGAATTAAATAATTCATAATTTATTTATTTCAAATAAATTATTCAAGGAAACAACTTAGAATAATATTCTTACTTTAAGATATTACCGAATATCTCAGCAGAGATATTCAGTTTTTGTAATTTAATAACGCTATTTATGTTCTTTGCCAATTTTTTTTGATAAAGGGTATGAAAATAACGCGAGCGCATTTATAAAATTAAAGAATAGGGCTCTTCAATTTCATTTTCGTAGATTGTGTCCATTACACAGTGAATTTAAAAGTAATTCTTTAAAACAATCGTCAAAAACAATTATATAATATATTGGAAATTTTCAATGCACATAGAAATAAAGTATAGTCCTAACTAATTAAATGAAATTTTATTTAACGTAAAGTAAAGAATGATACGAATGATCTTTTTTTTGTATAAAGAGTTTTTTTTGTTTTCGAAAATATTATTCTGGTTATATCGAGAACAAAAAATTTGATCGTTCACTATTAGGTCGCAGCTATTTTCGAAATCTTGCGCCGATTTCTTTCCTTTAGGTTTTCTCCATTCTGATCGTTTCCACAGGTAACAGATGAGTTTATTTTATATTTTTATATTCTTTTTTGAATTTATATTTTTCTCGTTTCAAGCTTAACGATCCAACGATATATGGAAAATCGGTACGGTTATGCAGATCAGTACCGTACCGGTTTTCTATCTACCCAACGATTTTTCTAAAAATCTTGCACCTCTTTTTACTTTCAGATCGGATAGTTTGCGCAAGTATCAGTTGAGCTTTATTTATTTTAATTTTTTTTTTTTTTAGGGTTCGATCGCTTCGGAGCGTACCATCGAAATATTAAATTTCATACGGGTTGGACTGTTTA